CTTTCCCTAACAAATTGGCCATCTGTTAGAGGCTTTTTAAGACTTAAGAACTTAGACATTCATTTATCATCTATCACAGTTCTTACTGGTTAGCATAGCAGTCATTTTTATGCATCTTAGTTTTACAAACAATTAAAATTATTCAAAGCAGTTGGACAATGTAAAAAATAGTAGTTAAATGCTTTTCCTTGTTACTTTCAGTACTTAGACATAGGAAGCCTCTAACTTTTAAGTAAACAGACTATTGCAGAGTGTTTCAATCCAGGTTTAACATACTTAATTCATTTAGGACCAAATAAATAATCTAAAAAAATCTTGTTTTGGTTTAACCTCTTCTATTCTACCCAAACCCAAAATAATTTTGGAAAAAGAGGAAGAGGAACTTTCTGCATTTTTGCATGTGCTTAGATGCACACATGTGCACACAAATACACACATGCAAGCACACCCCTCACATGAATTCATTCCAAAGATATTAAAAATAAGTAAAAAGTCTTGGTATTTCTTTACAAAACACAAAATAATTAACTGTACTGAAAAACGCAAGAACATTACTATTAGAAAAGAATATTTGCCACCCTGAACCCTCACTTTCCTAGCTGCACTCATATAGCTATTATGAGCTCCAATAAAAAATTGGAAAGCTGGAAGATCATCTCATAAATCCATATTTAAGTGCTTAAGTCAGGGGTGGGCAAAATACGGCCCGTGGGCCAAATGTGGCCTGCCAGGCCATTCTATCTGGCCCACGGAGCCCCTAAAAAATTTAGAAAATTAATATCTGCCCTTGGCTGCCTGTCATGCGGCCCTCGATGGCTTGCCAAAACTCAGTAAGCGGTCCTCCGCCCAAAATAAATTGCCCGCCCCCGGCTTAAGTGGTCTAATCTGCAGAGAACCTAAAGAAGTTGCTGAACATTCAGCATATCTGGGGAAAAAAAGTCATGCTTTTTAAGTAGCTAATCACAACTATACATGTCAAACTTTAGGTTTCTACCTTGGAAGTCTCAGTACAAATTTCTAAAACTACAAAAAATGTACTAGTTAGATAACACAGGATCATGAATAATAAGATAAAACAATCTGTGGCCTACAAATTATTATAGGGAGTAAAGGTTTATAACTGTAAAAGCGACTGTAATGTCTTTATAAAAATGTATGTTCTGTGAGCACTACAAACTAAGTCTCAGTGGGCGTATCTACGTGAGACACTAAACGCACAGTACACAAATTCTGCTTCACATTAGTGCATCACAGCAAAAGCTGTGCTAATGTGCAGGAGAATTAGTCTACCGTGTATTAGTGTTACTTAAAGACCGTGAGTTGGCACTACTGCACAGTAGCACCAGTTACTGTGCATTGAGTTAGTACCTGTTATGACAGGTACTAAACTTAATGCACAGTGACAATGGCACATAAAAGCATGTGTAGATGTGCCCACTGAAACATCAACTAGATTTGATTGCTGTAATAGCTGGCTAGCGCCCATCGGTTCTATTGTGAGGGTGTGAATAGCAAGGAATGAGTTCAGAAGGTTTAGATTCATACTCAAGAGATGTTCTTAGGTTTAATTTCTTCTCCTTTGTAACCATTATAGCACATTATAGCCACATACATACCTAAGATTCCCAGTCTTAGAAAATGGATCAATACATTCATCCCTTGACAATATCCGATGGGAAAAAAGTTTCTTTTCGGGATCCAAAAATCCTTTGGAAAGAAGAGAATAAAAAATTAGTGTTTCTTCAATTAGATATTTATTCCCTGTTAATATTCTATGTATTTTTTAAGTCACCCGTTTATTTTAACTTATGTAATACAGTGGTAATGCTTGTTACTATCATAAAGAAAGATATATTATTAATATGACTTGGTAAAATGATTTTTAAGAGGAAAAACAGCTGGTTAAATACTGGTCACATTCAGTGTTATTTTTATCTTAAATATCCCACTATAATGCCTTTAACATAGTAGATACTTTTGAAGTTACAATGATTAAGTTGTGGTATCAATGAATGAGTTAGCTTGAAAGAAATGGATATAATAGGTGATTATATAAGTATATATACACATACACAGTTCTGGAAACTTACATTTATCCCCCTACATTTGGTTCTTTAAAGCTAAACCCTGTCCTTAGCTCATTATGCAAAGGGACTGCAGAGAAGTCTCACAAGAGTCGGCAGTATGCTGCAATGCGTAAGCACATTGGGCAAGTTAAATGGTAGTGTCAGCCAGAGCTCTTGCATTTGTAGGTTTTAAGTTGTACCTATAACACTATTTTAACACACTTGTACCAACAGCAAATATATCCTGGATTTCCTTAAAACTGGCAGGCCTATTAACATGTGTTCATGCTAACAACATTCTAAGACTGAATGAAAAACTAGGCTAGCTTCGCTAATTTTAAGGCAAGGAAAAACGTCATCAGTTTGGCAAAGTGGCAGATTCATACATACACAGGCACACATGCATGTGTTATTATGCCTAACCTTTTTAACAATGAAGTTTAACCTTTTAATGAACAGAAGCTGTGGCTCTACAGCTGCTATGAAAAGCAAAAAAGGTGTTTCATATACTCATCTGGATTTGACATTTTAGAGAACTGATCATATTCTCACTTGCTTTGAAATTAGCTTCAGCTTCTCACTATTGCAGATACTGCACTCATTATTCACACGTAAAAGATTTATATTTAAAAAGGTAGCCATGGTGTATTCTACAGCAAAAGGTTCAGACTGACTATGGATTCTAGGGACCAAATCTGAGTTTCTATCAAGGGGCCTATTGGATTTTCAAAGGACGTAACTCAGGAGTTTCTGGAAGTTCAGCTCGTTTAAGGTGCTTCAATTTGGGCATCCAAAAAAAAAAAAAAAATCTGAGGCATCCAGAAAAATATCATTTTTCACTTCTAAAGATTCAGGCCTAAATATGAAGTGTCATTGGAATAACTTAAAACCCATAAAAGCAAGAAAATTCCGAGTTAAGGACCGAGGTTCAACCTTAACTCACCCGACTATGCTTAAGAATTGCTGCAAACTCGTAGAATCATCCCCTGATGTGAGACCCTTGCAGTACCTAGGCATAATGAATTGAGAGAATTAGCTATAGAGAACCATTGCCAAACACTTAAAGATACTTTGACAAACTACTACATGTAAACTATCACATGTTGCATTATTTCTGTATAACTGTCTCACTCCTGTACCCCCTACCCCCATACCACCTGCCCATTATCTGGATGTATACACAAAGGCTCTCCACTCTAATCGTTATATTCCTGCCCAATTTCTCACTGAAACCACAACCAACTAGAGTTCGATTAAAATTGGAAGGGGACAAAATTAAACAAAAGAAATATGGATGGCAATCAGGACTTCTGTATAAGAGAGACAAGTAATACAGAGTCACTTACCGAAGTTCTGTTAAAACCCAATTCACTTGGGTAACTAACAGCAAGTAAAACATTATGGTCACAGCTTACTAAAGATGCAAAACTGCATCCATAGAAGTGAAAGCCCAGTTTGGGGCACAGAGGGGAGGAGGGAAATCAGGCCATGTTTGCATAGGTCCTGGCACAGGTTATGTTTATTGCACAATGGCTCAGTAAAATCTAACATGCCACACATTCTGCCAATTTACGGTGTGATAAAGTGGCAAACCAGCCACAAAAATGTTCCATGTTTGATGTGGAACAGCTTTGTAGCTGGTTTGTATTATGCTTTAATTTGAAAGTCTGCATGGCATTGTTTAAATATCCTTGGTGCTTACACATGAATGTGGAGGCTGCTCCAATGTGCTGGAATTAATTGAGTCTGCTGGAGCATGTTCAAGTGTCCCCATTGCTGTTTAAGCATGGGGATGCAGATACATGAGACGCAGCAGCACTTTTAGAGTGGCTCTGAGAGCCTCTAATAATTAAAGTGCAACCCCCCAACCCCAGAGCAAGTGTAAAAGTACCCCTTGTGCACAGGAAGCCCAACTACTCCCCCTGCAATAAGGACATGTAAAGCTACACTGTGCAATCTGTTGCTGGGTTGACAGGTCCAGAACATGGGCAGTCTCTTAAATGCCTGGGTACCTTGGGGCTCCAACTTTGGGGACTCTTATGTGTCTGGACCTTGAAAAGGCCCTTTAACTGTTCGGGTGCACAGGGAGATCAGCTTCAAGGACCCAGTCCCAGATGCTGGACTTCCCATGAACCAGCAGTTGTGCAACTGGGGTCCGATTTATTTGGTTTTCAATGCCAGAAATCACACTCCATGCCACACACACACACACACACACACACACACACACACACACTTCATCTGATATAACAGGAAACGCTCTTTTTGGAATCCAGGATAAAAATCTGTCATGTCCCAAAAACACAACTAAATTAATGTCTGCCAGGGCACAAGACAGAAACCATTTCAAGCTTTCACATGACCTATTACACCTCAATATTGAGTAGTCAAACAAAATTTCAGTGATGTTTGTCATTAAGTAATTGAACAATCCAGTTTTTGCTAGGGAACTTCTATTTGCTACTTTTCTAAAATGTTGAAAAGTGGAATGGTCAAAAATATAATCCAGCTGCTTACACGTTTCAGAGAAGTGGTGCGCAGGTGAAAGAAAAGTATTTAGCTGACAAACCAAGATTCATTTGCTTTAGTAAAATGTTAATGTCTTCTTAAATCTTTAAAAAGGAGAATAAGTTTTTTTCTACTAGTCTTATCTGGTGAGATTTTTTTCTGTACAAAACACTTGAGACACCCAGTGGTTAAACCACACACTGTCAAATAAAATAGCAACCGATTCCAAAGGGATCACTGATTAAAAACACAGTTCTTTCTAGTACATTTATAGAAAAAAAATCTTTACATTAGTAAAGCAGAGATGTCATAGGCTCCTTTTGAGGATGCTATTAGGTGAAAGATAAGGACTCACTCATTCCCAGGCACTTGCCTTTCCCAACCCACCCCAGGTTCATCTCTGGGTAAGCTTACGATCATCCCTGCTGGCCCCCAATGTGAGGAGTTCTGTGCTTGCCCCACTCGCCTTTCCCCTCCTCTTATGCAAGGAGTTAAATACTGACTCCTCTGTTCCTGCTCCAGGGCTGGAAGGTAAGCTTAAAGTCATCTTTGCCCTGCCGCTCTGTGGGAAACTAAGTGCTTGCTCCTCCCCTTTCCCCCACATCAAGAATGAAGTGCTGTAATAAAGTGATTGAGCTGGGGTGCTGCTCAACTTACAGGAGTTATGGAGGGGTGTCAAGAGCCTAAAAAGGTTGAACACCACTGTTTTACAGTAAGACCTAGTTTTACGCTACAGAGTTTTGCTGGCAGAAATCTAGTTCTCCTGGCAAAACTTAGAATGCATTTATTTGCATTCAGAGCTTATCTGTAACAAAAGAGCCCTTCTTTCAGCAGTCAGTTAACTCTTCTCAGCAGAAGAAAAGTAAGCGCAGATAAACCCTGCATCCTCAGCTAGCTCCTGCAGTTCCTTCAGCACCTGGTGCCACCCTCCCGGGGCCAGGATGCACTCTGACAGGATAGGTGCTGCAAGAAGTGTCTCTGGGAGGAAGACAGCTGGATGCACATGCACTCTGGCAGCCTGGCATCATCAGTTGCTGTCTGTCTGCTGCCATAAGTTCTGGCAGCAGCACAAGTAAGTATAGGCAAGACCTAAAAATGGAAACTGGACATTTTCTCCTGGACAGCATGTCTAGGAGGATATTCAATTTTACTTTAAAAAGATGATAAATTAAAGTCTTGCACAGTGATATAAATAGCTTTGTTTGAATTATTTTGCTTTTAATAAGGAGTGAAACTGGGTAGGAAACTAGATTTTGAAGAAAAAAATCTCCCCATCTTGGATCTGGAACAAAAAGCCAAAAAAATCTCATTCTCTCTTACAAACTGAAAACCACAAAGAAGTTTTGGATTGTGTCAAAAGCTTCATTCTGAAATCAAGTTAGGATTCCACTTCTGTTTACTTATTTTATAGCATCTGGCCATTTGGTAAACAGAACTGTTTTTCCTAAATAAGGTTAGTGTCCCTTTTTTTGTAAACAAATAGAAAACAGCTATCCACACTTACTTCTCAGAAGTTTCTAGAAACCTCCTTATGGCTGTAAACAGACTTCTCATTCAACTGGGGACTGATTTTCCCAAGATTTGACTGGGATTATACATGGTGCTGCACCTACATATGTCAACATGTCACCCTTCCAACTGGCAATGCTGCTGCTTTGTTAACAGGTGGCCAGCAAGCACACGCAGCCTGACCTGCTTGTCTAGAATTAACTGCAATAACTGTACAGACGTACAACAGGATATCCCAGGAAAAAAGTGTTAGTGCATTTTATTCAGCATATTTCAGAGGGACTTGAGGCAGGATAATGAATGTATATGTCTATATGATCCCAGGAAAAAAGGCTTTCTGCTAGGATAAATGCAACATCGGTTCATAACCTGTGATTTGAAGACAACTTACCAGACTCCACTCTTCTTCCAACAAGGTGATTTTACTAAACATTTATAAAAATCCCACAACTTAAATGATATTCACTTTGTTTTCACATTTCAGCCCATTCAATTCCTTCCCTTGCTATGGAACTTTTTCTCCTTCTTCCCTTTTATTAATTTTTTTAATAACAAGTTAGAAATGACTAAAATAAGCATTTTAAACTCCAAACAATATCATTCTTGATGTTGGCAAAAGGAATA